TTTTTTTTGAAGGATTCGGAATTGTCTTGTCATCCTTCCATCACCACGTGGTTATGTGTCAGATCAGATCCTTCTCGGTAAATGATGAACCCTTGTAGCGAGTAATTTGTTGGATGACCAGGGGGTATGCAGACCACTGCCTCGGTACAGGAACCGTCATAAGTCTGTGTGAGGCACAGAAAAAAAAGAAGAAAAAAAAGAAGAAAGAGAGAAATGATAGAAAATAATAATATGACAATACATATATGCTCTAGAATGTCACTATCCACTCATCAGTCCAATCGGAATGCTGAGCCCCTTGGCGCTTTAGAGTCCAAACTATAAGTCGAGTCCTCTTGGTAGTGTCTTTTCCCGGATGACATCCGCCGGACTCTTGACAAGTCCAGCACTAGAGTCTTGTCTTCTGTTTCTGGCATGGAATCATGGTGACAGGGTAGCGTTTGGACCTTCGGAATCGCGGGAGACTCGAGTTCGCGCTAGCTAGGGGACAATATACTCGTATCGAATGTTAGGAAAAAAGCAGGAGATTCTTGGTGCCTCTCTCAATTAAGGTAAGTACCTGACTTGGCTAGTAAATAGACTGAAGATGTTTTATACCCAGGCCCATCCTTCATTTCCTGTTCCACTCTAACTGTGTTGTGTGTCTACGTTCGTTTTGCTTTCACTCAGCCAGTTCACTTCCTTTCTTTAAATCATGTCGGATCAAGAGTCTCAGCTCCCCGGCCTTCCCGGCTTCGACAGACATAACATTCAACCATGGACTGTCGAGGTTGTTGTTTCCATGACAGTTCTAGCTTTGGCTTCATGTGTTCTCAGGTTATACAGTCGACATCTGAAAGCGCAGAAACTATGGTGGGATGATTATGTTATTCTCTTCTCAATGGTAAGAACACCTCGTCTCAAATACACTCACAGAATCTAATCGTTTAGGCCTGGAACTTGGTTGTCGTAGGCTTCATCTTTGCCATGCACGCAAACGGTATGGGTCTTCACGCCGATAAAGTCCCCGTGTCCCAAATCGTCATGATGGCAAAGTGGCTCGTCGTCGCTGAAGTTCTCTACGCTTGGAATCTGGGATGGACCAAGTTGAGTCTTTTGCTCATGTACTACCGCATCTTCCGAGTGCCATACTTTAAGAAGATGGCATGGATTGTGGGTTCGTTTGTGTTCGCTTGGGTCATCACCATTACGTTCCTTTTCATCTTTATCTGCGTCCCCGTCGCCAAACTGTGGTATCCCGATCTTCCAGGTCACTGCATCAATCAGGTCGGAACCTGGATCGCCAACGCCGCTTCGACAATCTTCACCGATATCGTCATCTTGTGTCTTCCTATCCCGCCTATCTGGAAACTCCAACTCGGCAGATCTGAGAAGCTCGGTCTTACAGCTGCTTTCGCCATCGGCTCTTTCGTCGTCTTCGCTTCAGCTTACCGAACAAGCGTGCTCTTCACCTACAGCGACAAAGATCCTAGCTACACCCTCGCCCCAACAGTAGGATGGACCGAGATCGAAATGTCCGCCGGCATCGTCTCCGCGAATCTGCCCACCATGTTACCCGTCCTGCGTATCGTCGCCAAGTTCACCGGTCTAAGCAGCTTCGCCTCCACGATTCGCAGCAACGGACAGTCCAAGGGCGATCAATCCACCAAGGGTCTCAAATCCCACGACAACAACAATGGTGGCCGAAGCACCAACTCCAATTCCGTATCCTCCAATAACTTCTACCGCCTCCCTGACGACAACGACTCTGACACTCCTATCAAGGGTGCCCAATATACCGAGTCGACTGTCCCCTTGGACGCAACATTACGACCAGACATTGAAGGCTTTGAGCTTACTACTAAGACGTATAATGCGAGGGTGGATGGAAATACTAGCGATGAGGAAATGTTGCAGGGGATTAGAGTGCATAGGGAGTTTCATCAGTCAAGTACACAGAAATAGGATAACACGGCTTCATGATATTGGATAATATGAGCGGATGACCAACATCAACATAGCGACAGCGATACGTCTTTCTCTCTTTAGAATGAAATACCCAAACAATTTAATTTCACATCAGTACTGCTCTGCTCTCACTATTGCCATCGTATCATTATCACGTATAAATGCGCGTGACTTACAACCACGAGTGTCATGACATTTAACTTTCCACTACGCCGGAAATATCACAATCCAGTTGCTGGATCGATCATGAGGCAACCGGCAAAAACGTCCGTCTCCCCCAAATAGACCAACATTCCAACACAGAAACTCAAGTCTCAGTATTCCCGAAGGATTCTCGTCAAGGCCCAGACGTTAGGTATCGTCGTAATAAGATCGTTCGAGAAGAGGAGTTTATCTAGAAGTTGTCCGGAAATAGCAATTTACTAGGCACATTCCCGTGGCGTTTGTAGAACCAACACTCTGTACTAGGGGCATGCCTGTCTATGTTGGTTGAAGTTAACTTTAACACTGACACTTGGCTCGAGCGTCTGGTAAGGCTGTCAATCGTGGACGAAGGATTTAGCGACTTGTGTGTTTTTTTGATGTGATGTGTATCCACTGGACAGGATATTGATCCTTGGGCTGGTATTGAAGCGAAGGATTTGACAGGTGTTGGTCCAAGTTGTCTGTACGGTTGTCCATAGTGGAAATCCTTCGTGCCAGGAGTTGTGCTAGTGCTAGACTGTTCCTACGAAATGACGGATTCCAATCACGTGTTCGCATATTATGATTGTAGCAGTTTAGACTTATGAGTTCGGATATCCAGTGACTAGGTGTTCCTGACGCCGAAAGAAGTGTTCTGTGACGATTTGACATGGTGCATGTTGGTTGTGGTTCGGCTTCTTAGACAGGGGTTCAACAGCTGTACGTGCAGACAGATATGCTCCAAGTCGGCAGTTCCCAACTTAAACAGTTCGATTGAAATTGATATAGTTAGGGGGGATAGTAGAAGAACGAGGTTTTATCAATAATTATTCTCTTTCTTTGTACTCATTGTGCCTAAACATTATGTCGTCTGAAATACAAATGGTTAACAGAACAATGGCGTTTTAACATCGCACACAACACGCTTGTTGTCACCTTTTGTAATGTCAAGTAAGATGAGAGAACTAATCAAGAAGAAATCGACATATTTACCCGACATTTAATGGCAGTCAATCTTGACAAAATTAATCAATACAACTGACACAGCTAGTGTAGGGTAACCGCATCTCCAAGTCTGCACGTGACCTTGACGGCTCCTCAAGCTAGCTGCACCGCTCTTTGAATCCATTGATGCCCCTGGAGAGACGATACCGCGTCGCTCTTTGCTGCTTGCTTGCTGCGCATTTGTTTATAGCAGTCGGTATTTCCTTTGTTGCATGAGCCTTACCGCCTTTGAAACAAAAATTCCCGACAAACATCCCCTTCATTGGGCAGATCCTCCCTCAACAATTGCTATCTCTTGTCTTTCTTCAGCGCAAGCGTCTGTCCTCCACAGACACGTCACGAAACGAAGCTCCCACCAAAACTTCATCCCGCCCCTCCCCCGCCGTTTTCTCCACGAAACCAACCAAAACAATCTCAACCACAACGAATCGACACAACCCCCAATACTAGTCTATCCACTGCACGATAACATATCTTGGGATACTACTTGGAGAGGAGCCACATACCACACCGCCATCATGAGCCGGACGTTGACGAGCCGGCAGGCCGAGGAGCTGTTCGTACAGAGGAGCTTCGAGAGCTTATGATTTGCCTATCTGACCGTGCTGCAGGCATAAATCCATCATCGCCTACCTCGCCGCAAATAACCTGCAGGATAGCGCCAATGCCATGAGGACGGAGCTCAGTCTTGGAGAGGATGCTTTCGATTCGGCCACCGCTAAGAAGTACGAGACCTTGTTGGAGAAGAAATGGACCAGTGTTGTGCGCTTACAAAAAAAGGTATGCTGTGCAGAGTGCGCTTTGCTGTTTACTGGCTGATTGACATTTTGTAGATCATGGATCTAGAAGCTCAGAACCAGGCCCTTCAGACAGAACTTAATAGCGCTACACCGACATCCTCTAATCGCAGAGGAGACCCAGCTTCTTGGCTTCCAGCCGGCCCTCCACGACATGTCCTTCAATCGCATCGAACGCCCATTAACTGCGTCGCTTTCCACCCTATTTTCTCCTCTATTGCCTCGGGAGACGAAGATGCCACCATCAAGATTTGGGATTGGGAGTTTGGCGAGCTTGAAAGGACGGTGAAAGGTCACACCAAGGCGGTTCTCGATCTCGATTACGGTGGCCCCAAAGGTCACACACTGCTCGCGTCTTGCAGTTCCGATTTAACCATCAAGCTTTGGGACCCTTCGAACGAGTACCAAAACATTCGAACACTACCCGGTCACGACCATAGCGTAAGCGCCGTCCGATTTATACCCTCCGGAGCACCAGGAGCTCCGTTATCAGGAAACCTGCTTGCGAGCGCTAGTCGAGATGTTACAGTGAGGATATGGGATGTTACGACAGGATACTGCGTCAAGACGATAAGAGGACATGCCGATTGGATCCGCGACGTTTCCCCTTCGTTGGATGGAAAATACTTACTATCGACCGGTAACGACCGAACGGTGAGGCTCTGGGATATTTCGGTACCGAACCCTGAAGCCAAGCTTGTCATGATTGGACACGAGCATTTCGTCGAGTGCTGTACCTTTGCGCCACCAGCAGCTTATTCGCACTTGGCTACTCTGGCCGGAGTCAAGAAGCCACCCCCAGCCAGCAGTTCAGCCGAATTCATGGCAACGGGAGGCAGAGATAAGACGATCAGACTGTGGGACGGCAGAGGAACATGCATCAAGACGTTGGTTGGTCACGACAACTGGGTTCGAGGTCTAGTGTTCCACCCAAGCGGCAAATTCCTCCTCTCTGTATCCGACGACAAGACGATTCGATGCTGGGATCTCAGCCAAGAAGGAAAGTGTGTCAAGACCGTTGAAGGATCCCACGAGCATTTCATCACGAGCTTGAGATGGGCGCCACCTATCATCAAGGACAAGGGACCAACCGAGGAAGCAAACGGCGATACCCCAAAGAAGGCGGCAGCAACTCAAGATGTGCAGATCCGCTGCGTTATTGCTACCGGAAGTGTAGATATGTCTCTCCGAATCTTTTCACGATAGTTGGATACCCAGCGAGTATTGGACACATAACAGAACAGTCGTTCGCGACGTATGATGCAGGTTCGCGCCAATGGCGAAAACCCTGGACAGAGATTCTCCTTCTTTCGAACGGTCGGAATAGCCTGATAACTTGGGAACCAACAAAACGACCGTATCGAACATGAGTGGTGAAACCCACCTCTCTACCTATCTTACCATAACAAAACAAACTCAACTCCTTTTCTCCCGCCCGTCAAATTGCGTGTGTGGTTGGTTGCATGGGGAATTTTACGAATAATGTTTGATACCCAAGCGAAGCGACGAGGACGGACGGACCCTTGAAGAAATGATGAGGCGGGGAAAGGAGAAAACACAAACTTCTTCTTTTGAAAGAGAAAAAAAGAAAGGAAAGAAACAGCTGGCATAGACGTTAGGGGCATCATAGAACGGAAATTTTACGTATTTATTTTAATTCACCTATTGAGCGAGATTGGTTGGGAGATGTGAGACAATTTGTGATGCTACCTGAGCGAGCATCTGGGGTAGTTCAGATCTACAGTCGGTAATTATCACCATCATGACTCTATTCCCGAGCGATCAATATCGTAGAGTACCATTACATTCAGCATAATACTATATCACACACTTCATACTGATATTCATACTCTATGAGGAAGAACCAATTCCCTCCAATTGATGGACTTATGATCTGATTATTTCCTCTCGGTGGCTTGCAAATGTCCCAATGATTCTGCAGCGATGATGACAGTGGTCGATTGCACGTACGCATCAATGACGCCACGATCAATAGAGTCCCACAGTTGTTTTGATTCAGTTGAGAAATGTACAAAACAAACGTCATTATTTCGAGCTGTAGGAGCTTCCATAAAACAGAGCTTTGTTTTCTATTGCAGCTTTCATTCTCAACAGTTAGCTTCCTTGTGCAACATCAACAAGACACGCAACCTACCACGTTAAAGTAACAACTACACCATGTCTGCTCGCATTGTTCGATCTTTGGCCTCAAAGCCCTCCGTGCCCGCCATCCAGCGCGGCTTTCGCACAACAACATCTCTGTTGCGACACGGCGATCATGAACCTATTGGACCCAAAGCCACCGAGAAACCCGAGGCCAAGGCCCCCAAGTGAGTGTGCTCTTCACCTATCACCACTATATATCAATGCTAATGAAAATACAGCTCTCCATTAGTTATGCTTGGAGGAGTCGGTCTTGCAATTGGCGCAGGCTTCTTCTTCCTCATGGGCAAGCCTGAGAAAGCAAAGGACGCTCCTGTCGAGGGCGCTACCAAGAAGCCCATAAGTCCCAAATAAGCGAGAAATACGATACGAAAATGAAGAATGAAGGATGAGGTCATGCAAGATGGCGTAAGCGATGTGTGTTGTTTTCTTTTTGGGAATGAGGATTCGTAAGAGGACTCGTTAATAGTAACCTTGCCATCTTCATCAATTGTTCCTATCTGCTGCATGCTCTACGGCGTAGTCAATTCGCGAACCTATCATAAATCCCTGCGATGCAAAGTTACAGCCTCGATGGAGGCCGCCAAGCCAAAGCTGAGCCTCTGATGGGATTGGGAGACCGCGTAATCCGCACACGACGCTTCTCTGTTCAGCCTTACCTAGCCAGGGCGTTTTTATCGCTCTCAGCCCTATAAGTGGTTTAGTTTAGATTTTGGGAGAGGAGAAAGAGCACATATATCCTTCGCCATCTTTCTCCACGATCATCAAATCCCCCACATTGATTTTCATTATTCCCGCCCACCCCACACACAATGGACGGAGACGGCTTCTCGGTTATTTCTCTTACCTCGCTTGGCTCGAGTATTTCCCATCGATTACTCTCCAGCGCAGAAGAACTCAATGAATTAAACGGCACGCTTGAAGCGCCTGATGAGCGTTTATCGTCTTTCGCGAACAGGCTGTATCAGCTTCATCAGCACGTCGGATATCTTGAGACGGCGCTGAACAATGCAAGCGCCATATCCGGTCGTTTCCAGACGACGTTGAGTCAGAGTCTTGGATCGTGCGATGTTGTTAATACGGTTTTGAATAAGCAGGTTATGAGACTGCAGGCTGAGACGTTGGGGTTGTTGGATGAGGTGTTTTTGGGGGTTTATAGTGATGCTTTACTGGCGTATACGCGATTGTTTGCGTTTTTCGTCAAGGTGCTTTCCTTGTAAGTGATGCGATACATGGGTGTGATCTTGAAACTAATGATGTTAGGCCGAATCGAGATGAGCAGGACGTTACTCTTGAGAGTAAGAGTGGTAGAGAGGTCTTTGATCATGTTGATAAGGCGTGCCAGAAGGCTGAGCAGACCAAGGACATTCTTCTTTCTGGATCGCAGAGTTACTCTTATGCTTCGACTAGCAAGGGACCTATGCCAGGTGGTTTGGAGCCTCCGCCATACGAACCTGCTCAAGCTTCATCATCTACGTCACCCAGTATTGAACCGCCAACTTCACCTTTCACCAAGGGCTTGTCTTCTCTGACAAACTCTTTCAAGGCCATGACTTCAGGTCTCTGGGCGAAACCCGATCCCCTGTCCACAGCACTCTGTCAAGCAGCCCTCCGCGGTGACGTCCAGCAGATAAGCGGATTACTCTCCCAAGGCGCCAATATTAACGGTCGCAACGGAGAGGGCAACTCACCACTAAGCTGCGCCATCTTAGCCAACCAAGAAGACGCCGTTCGCTTTCTTCTAGGTGCTGGTGCAGACACAAACTCAAAGGATATGAAAATCCCACCAGTATTCCTCGCCGCATCCGTCGGAAGCATCGGCGTTGCGAAAATGCTCATCGCACAAGGAACATGGAACGCCAACGCAGCTAGCTGGAGTGGCCAGTTCTACTTTGTCGATGTCTGCAACAGCGAGAACATAGAAGGAGTCGAACTCCTTCTCCAGAACGGCGCAAAGCCGAATACGACGAATCTCTCAGGAAGACCAGTTCTTGCACAAGCTGTCAAGAAGGGCAACATTGAACTTGCGAGAGTGTTGCTCAAGTATGGCGCGAATGCAGATACCAGCGATATGTCGGGTAACTCACTGCTTTCGATAGCCGCGAGCCAGGATCGTATGGATATGATGAAACTCCTTCTCGAGAGCGGCACGAATGCAAGTTCGAGTAACTTGAGCGGTGTTGCAGTACTGGTTGACGCTGTTAGCAAGAGGAAACTCGACATGGCACAGCTCGTCCTCGATCATGGAGCGAATGCTAGTGCGAAGGATCTTGTTGGGCATCCTGTTCTCGTGCTCGCTCTGCGCGATAGCAAGCTTTCGCAGCATGACAAGATCAGAGTTGTCAAGATGTTGCTTGACCACGGCGCTTCACCGAATGTATCAGATGGAACATGGGGTGTTGCAGCGATTTGTTTCGCAATGGAGACCGGCTCTACAGATCTTGTACGAATGATGGTCCAAGCTGGCGCCAACACAAAGAAGAAGATGAGCAGTGGCGAAACACTCCTACTTTACGCCATCGATCATGGAAGAAGGGATCAGGCGAAACTTCTTCTCGAAGCAGGCGCTGATGCGAATGCAGCAGACAAAAAGGGCAGAACACCGTTGATGCAGGCAATTTCAAGACGAGATACAGAGTTGATTAGGTTGTTAAAGGCTCATGGGGCTGATATGAATGTCGGAGGATGTATTTCCCCTGCTGAATTGGCGCAGTCGATGGGTGATCTTGAGATATTGCAGATACTGGGATTTGGAACGTCTCCTTCGCAGGCAAGACCGCGAGCGCATTCACCACCACCTGGATACGAGGCGTCGATGGGCAAGGTATGAGAAACAGTATATATGTAATTGATACCCTTAATAATTAATTTCCTTTCTATAACGCCATCTATGTATCCCATCTATTGCTGGTTCAAAATCTCCTTCAACCACCAAATATGTATTCTCTCATCCTTGGTCAACTCAGGATGAAAACTAGTTCCTAGAACATTCCCCTGTCTAACAGCAACGATATCACCCGAGTCATCTTTTGTATTAGCCTGTGAAACACCAGACTTCATCTTATCCACTCGACCTGGTAGTTTCGCCAGAACTTCCACCGGAGCCCGGTCATCAGTTGTTGAACTAATGACTTCTTCGACAACAGGGGCGCGAATGAAAACAGCAGGGAAGGGTTTATCGTCGTTTAAGAAGGGCAGATTCATGCCTGCTTCGAAACTTTCCGTTTGACGACCAAAGTGGTTTCTGTGGACGCGCACGGCGAGACCGCCGATGAGTTCCTGGCCGCCTTTTTTAGTGGCGTTTGCTTCGTCGGACAATAAGATGAGACCAGCGCAAGTTCCCCAAACTGGTCGTTTTTGAACCCTGTATCTATTAGTCGCTAATCCTTTGCGCAAGCTGGGCTGGGTTGAACGTACTTGACAAAATCTCTAAGCGGCTCCAACAGTCCAGACTGAGCAGCGACGAATGAGATTGTGGTGCTCTCGCCACCGGGGATGATTAGAGCGCTGCATTGATCGAGTTCTTCTTTTGTGCGGACTTCGATGCAGTGGATTTTGTTCTTGGAGACGGAGAGGTGGGAGGCTGCTTTTTGGAGAAGATCGATGTGTTCTGAGAAACCGCCTTGGAGGGCTAGAACGCCGACCGTGAGACTAATCATGATGAAGCTTGGGATGTCTTTGTCGAGATGTTCTTCAAAGGGTGTTATGATGATAAGTCAAGGTATGAAAGATAAAGCCAAGAGCGATAACGGAGAGACATAAAGTATGACACTTTCGGAGCCATGAGCCGAAGGCAAAAAAAAAAAAAAGT